TTTGGTATAGAGGAATTTCAGGAGTAGCCTAAAACTCCATCTTCTCACTGCTAAGCCCCGCCTTCTTCCCAAGGACTATTTATATTTTTCATGCCTGATGTCAGTTTGTATTGGTTTGATTCATATTTCACTGTGTTAAATTTTCCTGCATCCCCCCCCCCAGCCCCCCGCTCCCTTTAGTTCTGTCTTTGCAACTTTACTTTTTCTTTTCCTGGCATCCTGAAGGCTGTAATCCAGCCATGTCATAAACGCCAGTTGTTCTCCAAAACATCCCCAGCTCCTTTTTGTCACTGCCATCTGACCTGAGAGACCATCGTCCAGCAGTGTTTGCTCAATCATGTGATATTTTTTATCCACGTAGCTTTCCTGGTGAAAATACCAGAGTGGTTCCACACTGCCTTCTCCCGTGGATACCTTTGCCATTTCCATTCAAGGGATCTTTTGGCTCCAGCAAGTTCCTCTATCGCTGCTGCCCAGTGTGGGCACCCGGTTGCTTTAGCAGCCTCTGGAAATATATATCCTTGGCATACGCATCCAATATTATTTGCTTATCCTTCCCCCCCCCCCCCCCCCAAGGAGCAACCCATCACCACAGCAATGCAGCACCGTGGGATGGGGGGTGAGGCAGACAAATGAATTAGGATCATTTCAATTATTATGTTCTGTGGACCTATAATATGATCCATCTCATTTAAAGATAGTTCTGTTATTTGCTCTTTAATCTTCAGTCCAATTTACTTATCGCTCACATCAGTTCATTATAATATATAACAATTGGGGCCAACAAAATCTTTTTTTTTTTTTAAAGTTACATAGTTGGGTGGCTTCAACTGCAGGTTTCCAGCCCTGCCTTAAAGGCCATTTTAACCCCCATCCCTAGTAAGGCTAATGTAGAAAAATTCAGATCCGTTCCTGAAAATTACTTGGCGAATGATAAGCCACCTCTGTCAGAGAAGCTGTTGATTTATCATTTGTTTGGAATTTGTGGATTTAATGTGGAATTTAAATTAATAGTTGCTACCTTACTTTTCTGGTAGGTCAAATGGATGTGGACTTTTATTTTAACAGTCTCTTATGTTTTCCCCCCAGATCCTTTTGATGTTGATTCAGGAAAGGAATTTTTTATACTCAACGGGCCTCGGCGTACCACAGAGTAAGTTTTCTAAAGGATTCCTTGAAGAGTCTCTAGAGATCATTTGTTCTAGAATAACCCTGATCTCCATTTGTTTAGAGCTGCTGCTGCAGATGAGAGCTCCTCTGAGGAGATCCCTGAGGACAGCAGCAGCAGCAGCAGCAGCAGCAGCGATGAGGACCTAAACACAGACTGTTCTGGAGCCAGTAAGTCAGCTGCATGGAGGCAAAAGAGCATTCTCAAAGAGAAGAAGTTTCACTGAGTTTAGTAACAAGGTTTGTTACTAAAGTTAGGATACAAATTGGACAATGTTCTTCCAGTCTGAAATACTTCATTCAGCCTGTGGGTCTTGTCTGTCAATTGAGCTGTGTGATGAACTTCATTAATACACTGCTTGTCAAATAGATTTTACTAATGCAACATCCATATCCTGGTCTTGTTTTTTTTACTTAGCATATCAGTTAATTATTATTCTAAGAATTGTTTTGAGATGATGGAGGAAAAATCAGAAGCAACTTCCACATATCTGATATCGCTACCTTTTGGTTGTTTCAGTTCTTAATATGTTGTGGATGGATAGTTGACAATAAATGCTCTAAACCAAAAATTACAGTGGAAACTGGCTTCTCATGGTTTTTGAAAGGTCTGGATCCAGGAAATTGCAGATCAATCTTCTTGATATCAATACCTGGGAAAATCCTGGAAAAGAGCACCGATCAGTGAATTTGTGAGCATTTAGAAATGAACAAGGTGATTATTTGGAAGCCAGTATGGGTTTGTTAAATATAGTTCAAGCCAAACAAAACTCACTGCTCTTTTTGATAAAGTGACTAAATTAGTGAATCAGGAAAATCATGTGGATATAATATACTTGGACTTCAATAAGGCATGCGACACAGCAGACCATGGCCTACTACTTTATAAGATAGAACAATATGGAATAGACTTTTTTACCACCAGATTGATTCACAGTTGGCTGAACAATCGCATTCAGGGTTTAGTCATCGATTGGTCCTGGTGCTCTTCAACATCTTCATAAATGATCTAAATGAGGGGCTAAAATCAAACGGCTCGTATGATGTGTTGCTGCTGGGGTGAGGTTATTTTGTTATATATGATTTTCTCTTATTGTTTTTGTTTATTTTTATATTCTTGTAAGCCGCCTTGAGTCACCATGTGTGAATAGGCAGCAATATAAATATCATAAATAAATCTCAAAAACAAACAAACAAATAAAATAATGGCAAACTCATCAAATTTGTAGATGACACCAAACTGGGGGAATTGCTTTGGAAGATAGACGCAAGATTCAGAAGGATCTTGACAGACTTGAGCACTGGGACCTATCCAATAAAGATGCAGTTCAGTGACGAAAAAAGTAAGGTCCTGCACTTAAGAAGGAAAAACCAAATGCATAGATATAGATTAGGAGGCATCTGGCTCAACAGAGAGAGAAAGCCTAAGTATCCTGGTGAATGACTGCTTTAAATGTGAGTCAGCAGTGTACTGCCGCTGCTAAAAAAAAATGCCATTCTAGGCTGATTCAGCAAAGGGATAACATCACGATCATGGGCGTGATAGTTCTGCTTTATACCAATGAGACCTCACTTGGAATCCAGTTCTGGTGACCACAATTCAGAAAAGATGCTGAGGCCCTGGAGATAGTGCAGAGAAGAGCAACGGGGCCTCAAAGCTAAATCTTACAATGAACAGCCAAGAAACAGCTATGTACATTTAGTCGAATGAAGTGAAGGCTCAGGAGAGACGTGATAGCAGTCTTCCAATACTTGAAGGCTATCACAGGAAAGAGGGCATTGAATTATTCTCCACAGGACCTGAGCGCAGGAGAAGTAGCAATGAATGGCTGACTAGAGTGAGATTCAACCTAGAAATGAGAAATTTCCTGACAGTAAGAAGAGTTAATCACTGGAGCAACTTGCCTCCTGGAGTTGTAGGTGCTCCATTTTGCTTTTCAAGAAAAGATCAGACAATATTTTGTCTGCAGTGGTATAGGGACTTCTGCCTTGGGCAAGGGATTGGCCTAGAGCAGTGTTTCTCAACCTTGGCGACTTTAGGTCCTGTGGACTTCAACTCCCAGAATCCCCCAGCCAGCCAAGATTCCTTCTGGCCCTAGGATTCTGAGTCATACCACAGTCCCTTATTTATGGAGCACGGGAGGGGCAATGCAGGGTTCCTGTCTGTCTCCCCTTCAGAGGGAACCCAATTATACTGAAGTGACTCAAAGTGCTGATCCAGTGTCTGGAGCCTGGATGGGCCTGGATGTGAAGAACAGATTGGGGCTCAAGAGCAGGGAATAATAGTGACTGAAAGGGCATCTTGTCCACCAGTTGTGCCTATTTGTGGTCCATAAGTTCTTCAGAAAATGACTCATCTTATGATTGGATTGCTAATATCCTCTACATCGGACCACCCTTGAAGACCATTTGGAAACCACAGCTAGTCCACTCCCACAGCAGTGTAGGCAGTCATGGGTGGATGACAATATAGGCACATCCTCTGCTGTTTCATGAGTTACACTGGTTACTGTTTGGTTTCTAATGCAATTCAAGGCACTCGTGAAAGCCCTTTGTGAGTTAGGGCCCAGCTACCTGAGCGAATTGCCCATTGAGGTCAGAGTAGACTTTAGCAATGTCACAGGACCCAGAAAGCCCAATGATGGCTCCTGCTCTCTGGAATGATCGATACCTGGAAGTTCATATTGTTCCCAAGCTATTGATTTTTCACAACTTGCTGAAAACCTGGTTCTTCTCCAGGCCTTGAAATTCAATGCGTTGCAGTCATCCGTCTCTTCTTTGATAAAGATTTTAATTTTACTTCATTGTGAACCACCCAGAGTTGTGTGGCCTCAAAACTGTAATATTAAATAGCAACTAAAATATTGCATTGCAAACTTACAATAAACCTTTACTTGACTCCAGGACGATACTCTGAGGGATCTTTCTGCTCTAGCGCCTAATTTGGCTGAAGGTACTAGAGTTCAGTGCAGTGAAATGAGGCCAAAACTTTTGTCTTTTGCCACATTATGGACAAATTTTAAACCCAAACCAATTTTTTAAAAACAATTCCACTTATAGCTCGCAGCAAAGTTGTTCTCAAAGTGGTTATAACTACCTTGTTCTATTAGAGCAAGGGTCTCGGGTAGCTAAATGTGTCATAAAAACATTGTCGCTTAAATCCAGAAAGCAAACTACTATATGCTTCGGGTCTCGTCAGTTAAATGGGGAATGTATCACCATGACCCCTTTGACTTTCTGCAAACTGCTTGAGACACAACATGAAGCACCACTTGGGTTGTTTTTTCGGGTTTCATTTTTTGAAGTGTTGTCTCTAGTCTCTTCTTGCACTTGATATACTGCTTATTCTTTTACTTTTCTGTAAGCCACCCAGTGTCACTGTGGCATTGGACAGCCTCAAAATTAAATCCTATGAATGGATCAGGTCTCCTGATGATCACCCATAAGAACTTCAAATAGGAAGCAGCAGGCACAAAGGATCAGAACTGCAAGTCGTGAGTCAGCTGGAGACTGAATAATTCTCACAGCGTCACGATTGGCAACTCACCATCCAAGCAACAGATCCACTTTGCTTTCCTATGAAATCTTTCAGAAGGCTGCAGTGTGTCATTGGCAGCTTCCATTTGAACGTGAACATTTTTTTAAAAACTTCAGAACAAAGGAGGCCATAACAGTGTGGGATAAGTGGGAACTGGCTGTTCCTTACCAATCCTATAAAAAGTATTGGCATTTGCTATAGCAAGCAGTAACAGCTTTTTTTCTGCCTGCAAATAGCTGTTAGAGCCAAGAGTGACACACTAACATTAATTTTAGCATAAAAATTTATTCCTGGGCTTTTGAATAATGAGGCAAATAGCTGGAGTCCATGTGGTTATGGACTGAATTTCTCATTTTTTTAAATCTCCACTGATCTGTTTTTTCCCCCTAAACTTGCTTTGAAATATACAGGTGAAACTCGAAAAATTAGAATATGTGCAAAAGTTTATTTCAGTTATGCAACTTAAAAGGTGAAACTAATATGAGAGACTCATTACATGCAAAGCAAGATNGGGCCTTACCGTGAAGCGCCCCGGCGGAGGCGGCGGCGGCAGCAGCAACCCCCGCGCGTGTCCCGGATTCAGGCGGCGGCGGCGGCGGCGGCGAATGACCCGGATGTTCCCTGCCCGCCTCCCCCCTTTTGTCTCAAACCCGGCCTTTCCCTCGCAGAAAACGGAGCGCGTCAGCACGGCCTGTCCCTCGGCGCGACCCGTCTGCGCCACAGCGCCTGCGCCGAGAGCGCGAAGCCGAACCCCGCAGCGCGGGACGCTCCGAGGCCACGCCCCTCGCTCCGGCAGAGAGCGGCCAGCGGGCGGGAGGTTGGAAGGGGCGGGAGGTTGGAAGGGGCGGTACCAGCTCCGCGGCGGCGTCTCCGTCCCGTCACGCTGCGGCCGCCCCGATCGGCGCTCAGTAGCCGCTCGTGGGCAGGGGGAGGGCCGGGTGGGGGCTCCGCGGCGGCGATTTTGGGACACGAATCGGTGGCTGAAGCCGGGGGGGGGGGAAGGGGAGTTGCCGGCTTTAATCCCAGGATTAAAGGATAAAGGAGGGCAAGGACGGTGCGGGGTCTCCTGCGTGAGAAGGGGGTTGGACTAGATGACCCACAAGGCCCCTTCCGACTCCGTTACTCTATTCGAACGGCAAGTCGGGTGGAAGGAAGAGCTCTCGCTCTCCGACGGCCCGGGGCAAGAGACTTGAACAAGGCAGGCGGGCCATCGGGATCTCCAGGCGGCAGGTGCGCTTTTGGGGGGAGGGACAGGACGGCCAGACGGCATTAACGTGCAGGATTGAATTGGCCAGATCCCTGTCAGGAGAGGCGAGTAAACCAAGGCTCTGGGCAGGGTGGGCCTTTCCCCTCGAGTTGCAGCCCTGACCAGCCCAGCTCCTTAAGCGCCGTTGTGGCCTTTGGCACCAGGTGAAGCTTCTAGACGGTCTTCAAGGACAGCCCCAGACGCTGCATTACAGCAGTCAAGCCATTCGATGACCAAGTAGTTGTGAAACTTTGTTTATGCTCTTGGTCAACAAACTGACTTACGCCAAACGTTACTTGGCTCAGAAATAGGACAGCGGCTACTCTAGATGAATTGGCCAGAATCCTTGCAAGGAAAGTGAAACAGGAGAGTAAGGAGAGCAGCAGACTGTCTGGTAGCAGCTATGCTGGTTTCAGGAACCACAAAATGCAGCCTGAAGTATTTTTTATCCATATTTGGGTCTAACAAACCACCATTGAGAGTTGGCCAGAGTTCATAGGCAATATAGGTAGTATTTGACTTGCTACCTCAATTGATAACATTTTTTTTGCTAACTGAGAAAGTTGTTTTGCCCCATTTAGAACCTTTTTGCCAGACTTAAGTTAAACACCAGTTAAGTTAGTAACACATTTGTTAAGTAACTCGTTTCCCCATTAACTCTGCTTATCAGATGGTCATAAAAGGTGATCACATGACCCTGGGACACTGCAGTCATGAGCGTCCAAATTTTGATCATGTGACCATGGGGATGCTGCAATGGTCGTAACTGAAAACATGGTCATGTCACTTTTTG